TTGGTCTCAGATGCCCTTTACACTCTTAAAAATTGTCGAGGACTCCCAAAACATGGGTCATGTATCTGTCAATATCTACTGTATTAGAAATTAAAATATCTTAGTATTATTATGAAAACAGTTTAGATCTTGCCCCTAAAAGGATTTGAGGAACCCAGGGGTCCTTGGACCACACTTTGAGAACCACTGAGTCTCAAGTCTAGGGTGCAGGCATCAGACAAAGAGCCTGGTGTATGACAGTGTGGGGCCACCCACAGCTGAGAGTAGCAGGAGAGTACTGAGTGCCTGATGGAAGAGGGAAAGAAGTGCTGAAAGACTGGAGACGTAGATGGGGGGGGTTGGAAGGAGGGGGACACTTCACCTATTACACAGCCTGCCCAATGGACCCTGTTTATAGACTTGCTTAAAAGGAGAAACCTGTTTGTATGGTCTCAGACTATAAATGCAACCAGCAAACTCAGCAGTAAAAATTTATTACTTAGTTATTGATGTTTGTTCATTTCAGGAATGATGGGGATTGCAAGATTTGCAAACTGTTCAGTAAATCTCAGACTTAATAGTCACAATGCTATTAAGATGCAGCCTCTCCCTCCCCATCCCCCCAGATTTGTTTATGTTTCAGCATTCACTCTGAGCTTGTTTGTTCTGGTTTTTCATAAGCCAATGGGGCAAAATGCAGGATTGTCACACTTTAGTTCTGTGACTAGAAAGGTCAAAGGGCTAGTCTTTTGTGCTTTTCTCTGGTAATTTTGGAGGGTTAGAGGCTTAGTGTTCCTAGTTAAAATTTGCAGAAACCGAACCTTTAAAGAGTAAAAGCCATCCTTTCCCCTTGACTTCAGCTCACTGTAATCCTGCATACTCACGCCACCAGTGTAGGAAATGAATACATTGCCTTTGGAGTCACACAGCTTTAGGGGCAATCTAGTTGAGCGAGGTCATCAACCCTCAAATGAATCTGTGAGCTTATTGATTTGGAAGCTCCCTCCAGTGATGCAGATCTTAACCCATCCAAGCCTGCCCATCCTGTGAGACGCTTGACAGTGTCCTCTGAAAAGTTCACTACAAGGGGTCTCCTAGATATTAATCAGAAATGTTGTTGTTCAGTCATTCAGTCATTTCCAACTCGTCATGATCCCATGGACCACAGCACGCCAGGCCCTTCTGTCCTCCACTGTCTTGAAGCCTGCCCAGCCTCATGTTTGTTGTTTCCACAACCCTATCTGTCCATCTCATCCTCTGCCATCCCCTTTTCCTTTTGCCTTCAGTCTTTCTCAACATCAGGGTCTTTTCCACTGAGTCCCGTCCTTTCATTATGCGGCTGAAGTATTTAGGCTTCAGCTTCAGTATTTAACTTTCCAGTGAATAGTCTGAATTAATTTCTCTAAGTATTGACTGATTTTATCTCTTTGCTGTCCGAGTGACTCTCAAAAATCTTCTCCAGCACCGCAATTTGAAAGTGTCAATTCTGTGGCGCTCAGCTTTCCTTATAGTCCAGTTTTCACCCCATACACTTGTTCCTTATGGAATTCCTATGGAAAAACCCATAGCTTTGACTGTTTTTGAAGCAAACCAGGCTCCATTCTGGGTTTCCATAATGAGATATAACAAGAGTATTCACCTTACCCATGGGTAATGCACCAAAAGTTTATGGTTCAGTTGTTTAGAGCTCATAACCCATTTCCTCATAGAAGCCTCATTACACATAGTACCTAAGTTTCTAGGCTAGACCTCAAAAGCTTATTTAACTGAAATGTACTATTTAAGTTACAAATAAGGCAGCATGACATAGTGGGAAAACTGCTGGGCTTAGAGTCAGAAAGACCCAGGTTCACATCTTGTGTCTGACACTGCTGTGTGACCATGGGCAAATCACTTAACCTGTCTGAGCCTTTGGCAACTCTCAAACATTAAAAGTCAAAGACTGGAGCAAAGGGCATTTGTGATCTCCTTAGGTAGAAATTCTACTGGAAGTCCCCACACTGACCAAACTATATCCTATTGCTTGAAGTGCTTACTTAGGATAAAATAGGTAATGAGTGGTGAGGGTAGTGTGGCTAGCTTTGTGACTCATTTATGTAACATAGTTTCTATAGGGAAATGCATTCTAAGGACTGGCAACGTATCTCATTCTTAGACCTCAACTACCACATCTGCAGAATGGGCTGGTGGGAAGGAAATACACTCCCTCACCCAAGTTACATTGGCCACTTGCTATCAGAAGAGAAACCTAGCCCCTGAACCCTTTTTCCATAGTGTTTGTTAACACTGTGAGAGAACTTGGACAGTTAACTGTTGAATTGATAATTAATTTATGAAATAATAAAATTATGAAATAGGGGCAGGCATGCCCAGTTCTTTGAGTATTTTCCAGGAAAGGCCACAGCGACAGTGGCAGTACATAGTACTTCAGTTCCTAGGCTAGACCTCAAAAGCTTATTTAATTGGGCTGCAATCACACTTTAATAAGGCACAGAGGGATAGAGATAAGTAGGGTACAGAGGCAGATGGCATGGGAGCGGGGGATGGGATGGTGAAGGGAGGCAGCTTGGGGAAGAGGATGGGATGGTGAAGGGAGGCAGCTTGGGGAAGAGGATGGGGAGGGAGAGAGGCACAGAGAATCACTCATGTAACCATGGATTAGAGTTGGGGGTACTCAGCAGCATGGACCCGGATGGAGATAGGAGAGTGCTGAGGAGCAGCAGTTTGAGGTGTCACCTTTATAGGATTTTTTTGGGAACAGACTAACTCTTGTCTGTGCCACCTTGGGGTTAGTTCATTAACATATTCAAATCATCTCAAAGTTGTTTGTAAAACTTTGAAGTTAACATGTCCGCCTCTCTCAGAATTATCAGCGCCATTTGGTGTTCTGGTCTTATTGAGGATGTCTGGATCTTGTCTGGGATTGACATATCACAGGACCAGAAGGCCCTGACAGCAAGACCTCAATAGCTTCCCCTGATTCAGCACCTATTACCAGGATGTAATATATAATACAATTTATAAATTACACTCTTTTGATCTTTGGGATGGGTTGTATGTAAACTGTAGGTTCTCCTTTGGAATTTCATTTCTTGCTATTGCCCCTTATACTGGCTACTTATAAACTCATTATACTGATTAGAAGGGAAGGGGGAATGGTCAGGACAACCGGAAGAAGATATAATATTAACACAGTAGCTTTATTCATTCTTATGCTGAAAATTGTAAAAGTTATGAATAACATGTATTTGGGACTTAAATGAGGCAGAATACAGAGGAAAGAATACCTCCCTTGTTCTGCACACTGTGACTCTCTTAATGAGTTAATGACTTTTAATATTACATTTACTTTTTTGGCCAATATCTCACACTTTTGATCACCATGTCATTTTTCTTGCTCTCATAAAAGTGGAGTTTAAGCCATTCATGTAGAAGGTGTCATTAAATTATTGCATTTGCATTTATTTTTTTTTTTGAGACTGGGTCTCACTTTCTCATCCAGGGTAGAAATGTAGGGGCTACTCATGGACCCAATCCATTACTCATTGGCTTGGGAGCCTTGACATGTTCTGTTTCTGACCTAGGCCAGTTTGCTGCGGCAGTCTGATGTCTCTCTGCCCCTGCGGACTTGCTCTGTTGATGCCAGTCTTAAGGGAACACTAGATCAGCTTAGCCCACTGCAGCTCACAACTGCCAAGCTCAGATGACTCCCCAAAGTAGCAGAGATTGCTGACATGTGCCATGACACTCAGCCATTTGCATGTAAAAATGAAGAAAATGGTGTTATACCAAATTCCTTACTCCTTGATAACTTGACAACTCATTGACAAATGGACCATTGTCATCATGGACTGGAAATATAAAGGCACTGAGCGTCCAACCCAATTCCTCTACTTACCCCGTACCTCCCCAAAGGACTGAAGCAATAATATTAATAATTAACATTTGTATAGTGCTTTAAGGTTTGCAAAGCTCTTTACATGTGTTATTTCATTTGCACCAAACCTTGAGGGAGGCGCTGTTATTACCCCCATTTTACAGATGAGGAAACTAAGCTGAGAAGTTAATTAATTTGCCCAGGGTCACACAACTAGTAAGTGTCTGAGGCTGGATTTGAACTAAGGTCTGCCTGACCTTTATTCTCTGTGCTACGGGACTGCCTAGGTAAAGTAAGAGTAAGAGTCTTTTACATTTCAGGGAAAAGCCAAGTCAGGAATGGTTTGGGGTTTTTTTTGTTTGTTTTTGTTTTTGTTTTTTGCTTTTTGGTGAGGCAATCAGGGTTAAGTGATTTTCCCAGGGTCACACAGCTAGTAAGTATCATGTGTCTGAGGCCGAATTTGAACTCAGGTCCTCCTGACTTCAGGGCTGGTGCTCTATCCACTGCGCCATCTAGCTGCCCCTGGTTTTATTTTTGTTGCTGGAACTGGGGTTGGAGTAGGGGGAGTCTGGAGAAGGGATGGAAGGATAAAGGGATGAATGGATAAGGAGATGAGCTGGGGTGGTGGCTGTGGAGACCAGCATACGTTTACCTGTGCTTTCTCTCTCAGAAGGGACAGTTGCTTGCTGTATGAGTGTGGGGTGAAGGTGGGCAGTGGAGGAGGGGAAGCAGGGGCAGGGAATATGGTCCTAGGTAGCAGCACCTGAAGCAGGAAAAGGAAGAAGGGAGAGAAATGCCAAGCAACAACAGTGAGGAAGACGAGGGAATTCCTGTGGTCACTGAGACCATCCAGTTGTTCTTATATAAGGAATGTGTTTAAATAGGGTATACATCAGGGTTGTCCCTACTCTTTTCACTCTTAATATGCCAGTTCCTCGATGGACTGGGTAACATTCATTCAATGGTGGTAAGAAATCTTGAAGGTCCCATAGCATCATGGGCTGAGGCCAGATGGGTAGCCAGAACTACAGCTATGGAAAAGGCAGTGATCACTGGCTTTAAGTAGACAGAGGCCAGGGGTCTCCCGTTGTGGACAGGTCATGTGGAGCAGGTTGAAAGCTAACCTTTTGACAACTCTTTGCAGCCTTCTACTGGGTGGACTTGGAGAAGCCTTGCTGGTTTATTCAGAGAGGACGAGCACATAGAGAAGAGAAGGAGGATAAAATCGACAAGCTGCAAATACCGAAGGAAAAAGCAAGAGCTCTGTGTGGATGGAACAGATAAAATGAAAACAGTGGGAGTATTGGGAGCCATGGACAGGTTCACTACTTCCTCAGGAGAAGGGCAGGCTCAGAGAAAACAAAATCTGTTCCTAAGGATGATGGAGGGGTAACCCTCTTGATGTTGTAATTATTAGGACCACCTGGAAAAACTCGTTAGGGCTATGAGTGGCTGCCTATGGCTGTCTTTAGTGTCTCTCAGCACCATCTTACTAGAGACACACACGTGGTCATTCGGTGCCCACATTTCCCTCAGCCCCTTTGTGGAGAGAGGAGTAGTAGAATCTTCCCTGGGATTTTCCCAGACCTTTTTGGAAGCCTAGGATTCATTTTTATACTAAACCGACTCATTTTATATTAAATGCCCCTTTTTGAGTCTCCCCTTTACCAGCCTCCAACACTATCTCACAACTGTATGGCAGAGGGCCCTGGGTGTATTTTAAATGTTTATGGTCTCTTCTGGGAATTCACTGTCCTAAATTCTCCTGTCTGTCCTGACAAAGAACTGCAGAATTCACTCTCGTGTGCAGCATCTGGAGAGCATTCCTTGGGAAGGAGTTGATTTGTGAGAAATTGAATGGCCATGCAGGGCTATGCTAGAAATCAGCAAGGCAGCCCAACTTCTCTGTTGTGAGCTCAAAAGCTTAGGTTTTGGGTTTTTTTTTTTTGTCATTGTCATTGCTTTTCCTTCCTTCTCACAGATTTCTCTGAACTCTCATCAAGTGTATGTTGCATTTATTTGTTAATTCTGCACATTGTTTCATTTCCTGCAAGTTGAAAACTTAAGTTAGCACTAAATTATCACCAAAGTTTTATAAGCACTGTTGAATGTCCTGGATAGTAAAAGATACTCCCCTTTCCCTGCCCAAAACACTAAATTATCACCAAAGGGAGCTAGTTTTTTAAGCACTGATGGATGTCCTGGACAGTAAAAGATACTCCCCTTTCCCTGCCCAAAACAACCTGCATTCCCCAAAGCTTCAAATTAGTTAATTCCATGGCATCCCAGAAGTTGTGAATCACTTCACAAGAAAACAGATTAGATTAAGAATTGGATTGAAAATGTTATAACCCTGTCAGTGTCCCTTATAAGAACAAAAGGAGAATTTATAAAAAATAGAAAATAGGATTTACATGGGATGAGAATTGGATTTGGGATCCACAAGGAAGGCGTTGAGTAAATCATCAAGATTTGGCTCCAAAAAAAAAAAAATTTCTGTTTACAGTTGCCTTTGTCAAGGTAATACTACCTTCCCCTAATTTACAGAGCTTTGGCCTTTTGTAACATGGCAGGGAAGCTGTCTCCTGGAAGATTGTACTGTTACCAAGTCACAGAGGCCATTGTCAGGGGTTGGAAGCCCAGCTTAGCCACATACTGCTCTGTTCTAAAGAAGCCCTGTGCTTTCATGGAAGGTATTGGCTGAATAGTATTTCCTTGTTTCTAAATAATCATCCCATCCATCCGTCCATCTGCCCTGTGACTGTCCTCCCCACCAATCCCTCCTCCTTATCTGGAGCAGCAGCATCTCTGAACTAATGGCCACCACCCTGGGGAAGTCAGTTCACTCAGTTTTGGAACTGCTTTGGGGCCAATCTACCTGTTTTGCCTGGTGAGTAGATGTAATCTCACCTAACCCACTGTGTCCAGCCCAACATGGGAGTGTATCTGACTGCTGAAGGGCTCCACTTGCTGTCCCTTGACTCTCTGCACACCTTGGCTTTAATATCCTTCTCTGGCCACTGCTCTCTATGTGTTACCCGCCCCTGACTCAGCCCCTCCCCTGCCCCCCAATAAAATGTTAGCTCCTTGAGGGCAAGTGATGTCTCAGTTTTATATTTATATTTGTCTCTTTTGCCCAGGACAGTGCTTGGCACTGTCAAATACTTTTCAGAAATGCCTTTTAATTAATTTATTTAAAGAAATAAAAAAAAGAGGCAGGAAGATCCAGTTCAGCTCCAAGTCTGTGATCCTAAAGTTCTCAGGTGAGTTCTGAGATGGATGGCTGAAAGAAGCTGCTGCTGCCTTATAGCTTTACTCCTTTGTTTCAGCTTTAATCATTTCTTTAGACAGTCTTAAATCTTTAACTAGTACCTTGAGTTCAAGGGTTGGGTCTGAATGCAGAGGTGAGCCCAGATATTGCCCGAGATGTGTGTTCTATCAATTCCCATTATTCAGTTTTGGCTTTGGACATGACTCGTTTGGGTGAATCTGTTTGTTGTTGATACTTCAGTTCTATTTATGCCTCTTGACACGGTGTCCAATCTAGTTTTCATTTTTATTAATCCAAATAAAATTCTTTGTGTCAATAGAGAAAAAAATCTTACCTGATTTTGGGATGTTATTCTTGCTAAGTATGAAGATGCAAATCACTTTTTTTTCGGTCTGATTATCCTCATCCCTCTTGCCCTCTCCATGCAGTAGGGCATGCATGGTCCTACGTGGTATTAAGTCTACATTAGTTGGAAGATGGAGAAAAGAGAATGTGGTTGTTCTCTACATTTATCCAAAGACATCCCTCCACACATACATAAGTACAAATACACACAGATACATGTTCAGAACAAATAGAACCTCTCAAGCCTCAACCTGGCTATTTTACCTGAAATCACTGGGACTGGGGTAGGGATGGAGGGTAAAAGAGGAGGCGGCTTATAGGACTCTTCCCACCATAATCCTCAGGCATCATATTAATGGAAGTGACAAGAGAGAGCTGTGGTTAAATGGCCACAGAAATTGCTGACATGAGGAGAGAATTCAGGAATGGCAGTATTGGTAATGGGTCTCCCCACTGCTCACAAAAGGATGTGTTCCCTTATTCCGTTTAAGAGGGAATGATAAGGGGCAGCTCGGTGGCACAGTGGATAGAGCGCTGGCCCTGTATTCAGGAGGACCTGAGTTCAAATCCAGCCGCAGACACGTAACACTTACTAGCTGTGTGACCTTGGGCAAGTCACTTAACCCCATTGCCCAGCCCCCCCCCTCAAAAAAAAGAGAGGGAATGGTAGACTGGGTTCCTGAAGAAGAAAATGACATTCATGCCTCAGTCTGTTCCCCCAACTACTCTTACTTATGCAACATGGCCAGATTTCACAATCATTCTCCATAATTTCTGGCTTGTCTCTCAGGCATCATAGTTACTTCCATCTGTTTTCCCTGTCCTCAAATCAGACCGGCCCCGGGAACATACTGGGAACCTCGCTGCTATCACCTCTAAAAATAAAACAGAAAGTGAGATGTAAAACGCGAGCCATGGTTTCTTCATCTGTCCACCCTCAGTTGTGAAGACCTGGGACATTCAGATGGTGAAGGAAAAGAGCAGCGCACTGGTCCGGCAGTTACTGTGCCAGATAACTGAAGTGTTCCCTGTAGTTGATCTTCCAGCTGACACACAGAAGCAAGAATGTTGATCTGCCTCTACAGAAAATTCTTTAAAAATACACACTTTATGGCAATATGTGGTGGAAAGAGCACTGGACATTGAGTCAGAAGACTTGGTTTCCTATCCCATTTCTAGCACTTACCAGGCCTACATCTATAGGCAAGTCAGAGAGGAAAGTCAACTTCTCTAAGCTCCGGTTTCCTCAGCTGTAATTGTGCTTTGTAAACCGAAAAGGGCTATATAGATGATGTTTGTGGAAATGGAATTTGTTATAATGTCTCATAGGAAGGTTTTTTAATTCAACATCCGTCCTGTGCTAACATTGTATAAAGCCTAGAACTGGGCACAGACATGATCAGGTCTCAAACTCTCACATCCTCAGTCATTCTTACTCTCTCTCCTTCCTCCTCCCCCTATTTTGCCTTCATTTTCTTCATCTTCATATCTGTTGGCCTTTATTCCTCTTCTTACAAACATACTAGGTCCTATCCATACACATCTCCCCTCCATAAACGAACAAACAACCTTTCCTGTTGATCCTGCTATTTCTTCAAGGTATCATCCTTTCTGGCTTAACTCTTTAAAAGAATCACCTGTGTTCACACCCTACTTCCCCAGTCCTCAACCCCTTGTAGTCTTGCTTTTATACCCACCACTCAACTGAAACTTATCCCAAAGTAACCACTTTTTATTTTGACACAATCCAATGCCTTTTTCTCAGTCCTTGATCTCTGACATTTCAATAGCATTTGCCGTTGTTGACCTACTGCTCTTTGCCCCCTTGGCTTCTGAAACATTGCTATCTTCTGCTTCTCCTACTTGCCTGGTCACTCCCTTTCAGTGTTTCCTGGCTACATCTTCCTCCACCTTCGCTCTATGTGGATGTCCTTTTCAGGGCTACTCATCCACCTGTGGGGTCCACCTGTCACCCAACTCTCACCTGTGGTTTCAAGAAGCTGTGCAGTGGCTGGACCCCAGTAAAACCATCTTGGCAGATGGGCCAAATCATGTGGAAGGTGACCAGGGGGATATTTCCCATGGAAGACTCTCTCCATGGGCAATTTATTCCAATAACCATGAAGGTGGCTGAAGCAAGTGCTGTGGAGCACTTAGATCTTGGCCAGGCATCAAAGATGCTAAGGACATCCACTGCATCCTAGGCCATTGCCAGTCATCTTGGGTTTTGTCTTGCTACTGGACTTTAATGACTGGAAGAGAGAGTGAGGCTGACAACTTTGTGCAACTCTGCCTCACTTAAGTCTAATTCATGTGCAAGTCAAGACATCACCTGGTGATGTCATTGTCCAACTCTTCAAAAACAAAGGACAAACTAGTGGATACCCAAGGACATTCCCTTGGCCATCTTCTTTCTCTGCATTTACCTTTTTCCTTAAAAAAAAAAAACAACAAAAAACAAACTCATGGGGTAGCTAAGTGGTGCAGTGGATAGAGCACTGACCTTGGATTCAAGAGGACCTGAGTTCAAAACCGGCCTCAGATACATAACACTAGCTGTTTGTGACCCTGGGCAAGTCACTTAACCCCATTGCCTACACAAAATAAATACATACATACATACATAAAAACTCATGCATATCTTCAGTTATTCTATACAGAGAACTTCGCAAATGTTACATCCTCAAACTTTCCTGTAGTTTCAGTCCTTCATTTCCAAGTGTCTACTGGACATCACTTGGATGTTTCTTTGGCACCTCAACATGTCTAAAAATGAAACCATCAACTTGCATCTCCAATTGCAACATTCCTCCTTATTTTGTTTGAAAGCGGTACCATCCTTTCTGCCTCCCAGGCTTGACATTTCAAAGTCATCTTTGGTTCTTCCTCTCTTGAACTCCCTACCTCTAGTTAATTGCTAAGATTTATTGGTTCTGCCTCCACAGTATTTCTCAAATCTGTCTCCTTTTCACTCATGCCATTAGGCTTCTATCACCTTAGTTTTGCTTTGGCCACCGCTTACTTTATAAAATTAGCGTTCTAAATAGTCTTCCTGTCTCCTTTCTTCTCTTCAATCTGTCCTTCACAGAATGGACAAATTTGTTATTCTATTGTTTAGGTCTGACTCCATCACATTCCTACTCAAAAAAACCTCAGTGGCTCCCTATTATGTATAGGATAAAATACAAAATTCCTTAGCCTGGCGTTTAAAGTTATCTACAATCTGATTTCAACTTATGTTTCCAGCCTTATTGTACATTACTTGCCTTTATGCACTCTGTATTATGGCCAAACTTGACTTCTTGCTGTTTTTTTGCCCTTTCCCACCATCAGGCTATGCCCCATACCCAGAATGTATCCCACCTATCAAAATCTCCTTCCTTCAAGGCCTTGCTGAGGTGCAGCTTCCTCTGTAGAAAGCTCTCCTTAATTCCTGCAGCTTAGACAGCTTTCCTCAAGTTTTCTTAAATAACTATGTGTGGCTCACAGCTACCTTGTAGCCCACTTTTGGGGTACACTTATCAAACATTCCCCTGTCCTTTCCTGACTGGATTTGAAGAAGCCATGGCTTAATAGAACCGCTGCTCTGTAGACAGATTCATGTCTGCCCCATGCAGATGTGACCTTGTGCAAATCACTTTGATAAGCCTTAGTTTGCTCATCTATAAAATAAGGTGGTTATGATAGATGGCCTTGGAAGTCCCTTCACGCTCTCTATTCTCCTCTGACCTGTTTTTCATCTTTGCAATCCTCAGCAGCCTGATAGAGTGCTGTGTATGTATATATAGAAGGGGCTTAAGAAATGTTTGTTGAATTGAACACTTTTTTGAAGTCAATTAGAGGCAGCTACACAGTGAAGTGAATAGAACACCGGGCCTTGAATCAGGAAGACCTAAGTTCAAATCTCTTCCCAGATAACTCTCTAGCTGTGTGACTTGTTTGCCTCAGTTTCCTCTATTGTGAAATGGGGATAATAATAATAGTATTTCCCAGGCTTGTGGCGAGGGTCAAATGAGATGATATTTGTAAAAATATCACTTCGTGCAGTGCCTGGCATGTAAGTGCTATATAGATGCTATTATTAATGATTATTTAATTATGAAATTGCTAACTGATTAAGTTTAATAATTAGTAACAATATTAATAAATTAATCATTAAGTGATCTGCTTCTCTTCATTTCAGGGTTACTGTTTTTTGTCCTTTGTCCTTGAACAGGACAGTGACATTAGAGAGATGAAGCCATGATGAATTGCAAGTGAACTGAATTTAAGTGAGGGAGGGCTGTGCAAAGTCATTAGCCCTTTCTCCTCTGGAGCTGTCTGGGTCCAGTGGTGAGATTTATATCAAGATGGCCCTGGATGCAGTGGGAGACCTTGGCCTTTTTTAAGAAAGGTCCTTAACAGGTCTCAGTTTGACTGAGGCAACACCCATTCATTCCAGGGAAAGCCAGAATGAAAGAAGGTAAGGCTGCTCAGCTTACCCAGAAACTTGGGGACAG